GAGATTGCAAAAAATAAATACAGAAAATTTCCCATGTCCTCAAAGGGTAGCAGATCACCATTAGCAAGAGAAAAATAGGGAAAAAAAAACTGCTTTACTCTCACTCAGGATTTGATTTCTGAGGATTTCATATCACAGTAGCTCTGATCCTCCTCTGAGTGACTTCATGCTGAGTAATGTTAGAGCTGAATAATCTGAGTGAGTTCTAGACAACTATTGTGAACCATCCATCATCAGATTATCAGATTATGAACGCCTGCATGGCCGATCCAAAAGGTCTTGTTGCTGACGGCTATGAACACCGCTGAAGGACCCAACTTCAGACTCACCTTCTGGTTGATGGACAAGAAGTTGACATAGGGTTCCTCCATTGGCAGCAGGAAGACGAGGGCGTTGCCATGGTTACCGATACGCGCCGTTCTCCCGCATCGATGCACAAAAGCACTGATGGGAAAAAAAAAAGAGCAGACAGGGAAAAATGGGTTGGAGCCAAGTAGTTAGAAAAGTAACATTGTTTTAATGCTTAAGCCAATAAAATAATTCATTTTGCAACATATATATTGTTTTAAAAAGGACAACTTCTGTTTGTGTTTTTTTTAAACTAACTGCACCAACCTGGCGCTGCTGGGGGGATCGTACTGCAGAACCCAGTTCACATCGGGGATGTCGATGCCTCTGGCCATGACTGCAACGTCACAACACGTTTAAAAACAAACACGTGACAGCACAGACTTACTGCGGGCGGGGGCGGATTTCTACCTCTTTAAGGCCCTAAAGTCTGAAAAAATGCCGCTGCGCTTATTTTTCATCTTGCCGTGGATGCAGAGGATGGTGACCTTCTTGACCAGCGACTCCAGGGCTCGGCCGAAGTACTCCACACAGGCGCAGGTGCTTTTAGAAGCAACAAGGACAACGGGTAAGAGAAAACGTGTGCATGCATAACCAGGAACAAAACAACTAGCTTACCACTACTTTACTGTTGGAAATGGGGGAAAAGAAGTTTACATTTATTTAATCCTGCCCCTTATCTCAGTTTAATGAAATGTGTCGCTTCCAGATGCATTAATTTGCAGGAACTTGTTAATCAGAACATATGTTGGTGTTAATATGTGATCAATTAACTATTCTAAAGAACCTACACATGATAATATTACTATTAATGACTAAAGAATAACTGCGCATACAGCATCGGAATGATTACAGACACCTTGATAATGTAGATCATGTAGTATATCTGTCTTATATAACAAAACGCTAATGATGACAATAATGACACTAAAATAATAATCATCTAATGATGACAATAGTAAAACAGAAGGAAGGAAGAAGACACCTTCTGCTAAATAGTGCAGAAATCAAGTGATTTCTTATCATTCAAAAACTGATAAAATGTGAATCTGTATGAGGGCTGCAACTCACAATTGTTTTAGTGATTGATTAAACATTCTAAATAAACACAACCAGAAATTAAAAAAAACATTAAACCAAAACAAAAACCACAAATGAATGAACCCAATCAAACCTGAAGAAGACCAGCTGCTTCTCATGCTTGTGTTGCCTTAGAAAAGCCACCAGGTTGTTGAACTTGTCCTGTGCTCTGCACATCTGAAAGGACAGCACACGATTGTGATTTGTCGTCGCCGTCTTCACTTAGTGGGCTGAACGGCGGGCTGTTCGCTCCGTCACTCACGGTGTAGTAGTTGGAGAGGCGGGCCGGGGTCTTCTGGGTGGCCGAGGCGGCCTGACCCTTCTCTTTGACCGTGATGCGGACGGGGTTCCTGAGGCCGGCCCTCACCAGCTTCTCCAGCTCCTGGGTCTGGGTGGCTGAGAAGAGGCCCGTCCGTCTCTGTTTGGGCAGGTAGCTCAGGATGCTGTTCAGGCTGGGGGGACGTGGGAGGGAATGGGGTGAAATGCAGAACAATCAGGAGCAACTTGATTGGCTAGGAGCAGATTTAGTTCAAAACCAAGAGAATAAAAACAAACAAACCAATAACACATCCAGACTGTATTTGAAACTACATGGTTACTGAAGGTTTCACCAACTCAAATTTAAGACTTTTTAAGACCATTATAAATTAAAGACCTGGATAATGACAGAAATGTAATAAAGATGATAAATGTTCAGCAAATTTGCAATTGATGGTTATAAAAAGCTAGTTGTCAGCAGCTAGTTACTAGTAGCTTGTCTGGTAATCTTGTAGACGATGTATGCAAACCACTCAAACTTTTGCCTGACAGAAATGTTGATTAATGTAATTGAGGCCAAATTGCATGTTTTTTTAATGTTCACACTGTATTATTAATACAGGGTTACTGCAGGTTTCATCAACTCAAATTTAAGACTTTTTGAGACCATTATAAACTAAATTTAGGAATGCACATAAGAGATAAATTTATACCTCCCCATGATGAGCTTGCTAGTTAGCAAGGGCGTATATATTGACAGCTAGTTACTGGTAGCCTCAACCACCTTGAGTCACAGAGCACAATGAAAATGTGTGCAGGTAACTCAAACTTAACCTGACAGAAAATTAGTGCAAGAAAAAAAAAATACATAGAATATAACAGATTAAACAGTCCTGCCACAACACATTAAATGACTTTAAGACATTTTAAGGCCTTAATTTTAGATACATAATTTAAGACTTTTTAAAGGTGTGCACTCATCCTGGAATAGGATCTTTCCTCCATCCTGACTGTAAAATGTTCCTGCTGATTCGTACCTGGCCTCAAAGCCCATGTCGAGCAGCCGGTCAGCTTCATCCAGAACCAGAACATCCAGGCTCCTGACTGCGCTGGCCAGTTCCAGCCCCTCTGACTTCCTCCTGAACATGTCCTCCAGGCGGCCCGCGTCGCAATCACAATGTTGCCGCTGAAAAAAAAAAAGTGAAACGAACGTTACAGCACGACAATCGCTTTCTAACATGTTCCCAACTAACACTGAGGACTACAGCGCTAATCTTAAACATTAATTCAGCTAATACTAAAGTGCTATAACAAGGTGGTATTTAGCAATAGCTAATGCTAAAGTGGCTTAACAGGATATTTAGCAGAAGTTATTGCTAAAAATGTCTGTCAAGATTTAGGAGAACCTAATGCAGTATAACAAGAGGGTATTTAGCACAAGCTAATGCTAAAGTGGTAAAAGAAGATGGTATTTAGCACAAGCTAATGCTAAAGCAGTAAAACAAGATGGTATTTAGCACAAGCTAATGCTAAAGCAGTAAAACAAGATGGTATTTAGCACAAGCTAATGCTGAAGCAGTAAAACAAGATGGTATTTAGCACAAGCTAAAGCACTACAATAAGATGGTATGTCGTGGAAGCTAATGCAAATGCTGTTACCCGATGTGTGTTACAACACAGACTATTGCTCTCAACAATGAGCGATAGTTGACACGCAGGTAGTGGCTATCATGACACACCTACCTGTATGGTTGCTCTTGAGAAAGTGATTCTTTGGAACAAATGTTTTCAATGTTAGCAAAAAACTCTAAGGAGCTAAACAAAACATCAGGTCCCTATTAGTGGATTAATTGTGTTGCCACCACTGGGATACAGCTTTCATTTTTCTTATAAAAATTTAAAATATTTGCCCTCGGTTACTTATTAAAATGAAACTTTACTCAGAAGCATTTTGTTCAAATGATGAAGTCTAACAGAAGAAAGTGATACACCATTAAAACAGAGGAAGTCTATTTATTGCCAGCTTTTCATCAGTTAAAGTCGGACTGAAATCCGTCGCGTACCCATGCTCTTTAAACTTCTCCACGTCTTCTGCCGGGTTGCTGCCACCAATCAGCAAAATCTGCCTGAGAACCAAAAGGTGAAATTGATTATTGAGTGCAAATTGATAAAAAAAAAAAAAATGCCTGTAGTTAAATCTGCCAGCTCAGTTTGAAACAATTCCAATCTACAATATTTGACTCTGTGGAGTTTTTTTTAATTTTTATATATAGATACTCACGTAAACTCTGGAAACTTCTGGATAAACATTCCCATCACTTCACTGATCTGCAGGCCAGTTCTCGTGTGGGAGTGATCACCAGAGCACCGACCTGCACAAAACACCTGAACTTTTCAGCGGATCCGACACAACAGCAAACCTCCCAGCATCCAAAAAAAGATAAATAACAATACTGCAGAGACTAAAGTAGCCGTGTTTTTTTGCCGTCATGGTTACCTGTTTCTTCTTGAGTTTCTCCTCGCGCTTCAGCAGCAGCTCTATAACAGGAATGACGAAAGCCAAAGTCTTCCCACTGCCGGTGACCTGAAGCAAAACAGCAAACGCCTTAAGAAACTACCGGTTGTCATGGCAGCACAACTTCCTGATCTTTTCCAAATAACTGTTTTTGCATAATTTTGATAATTACAACACCTCTATATCCTCAGTTTTGACCATCTATCATATTTAATATCTACTGTTGGATCCAAGGTGAATATTGATTCAGCCGCCAGCAGAGGGAGCCAAATCACGTTAAACACACAGAGCAACTTCAAAGCATCTCTTGAACGTTTCATATTTTGTCATGTGACCATAAACCTTTATAAATTTCATTCAGATTTCGGTTAGATAAAAAAAGTCCATCATTCTGAATTTTTGCAGCTGAAAATCTGATAAGTGTGGCATGCACTTATTCACCCTGCTTGAGTTAAAACTTTGTAGACTTTGAAGAACAATAGCAACTGCAAGCCCTTTAGAGGATGAACCTGTCAGCTCTGCACATGTGCAAACTGAATTCTTCTGTCCGATTGGATACAGAGCGTCTACCAACAGGCCTGTTCCAACTTTTTGTCCTAATAAGAAAGTGATTCAAATGACCACTACTGCTGTGAGTTTATCATCATCATCATCATCATCATCACAGCGCTCCTTCATCCTTCATCAGATATACTTCCATTCATGACAGAGACATCGCAGATGTTTTTGGTACCTTGTACTTATTCATTTGTCATTTTTGTAACAACTCGCTCAACACGAGATCAACATATTCGACGTCTCCTGGATCACGTTAGCTTGGATTTCTTCGTGACCCAGAATCAACGTGTCAGTAAATCCTACTGGTTCAGTTCTAGTTCTTGCTCCGTCTCGGCCTCTTTAAACAACTTGTTCACACTCACCGCCTCAGCAGCAACGTCTTTATTGTTCATGAACAGCGGAATACAAGCCGACTACAACGAAAAGAGATCCATCAGTCAGACAGGTGGAGATTCAGGGCAGCATGGATTGAAACAAGGATTTAAGGCTAATGAAAGTTACCTGTACAGGTGTCATGAAGGTAAATTTCATTTCCTCAAGCGTTTGTAAAATCTTCTCGTTTAGTTGGACAGGTAAAGTGTCCCATGTTCCGTCTGTAATGTTCTCCATGTTGGGAAGTAAATCGAGAAGACGTAGCAGCAGAATGCTAACGCTGTTAGCACATGGTCAGCCTTTCTGCACGATGGACCTTCTTCCGCTGCGTTCCGTAGTTGTTTACACGCCGGGGAGAAACTGAAGCCGACTCGCATGTTTTGGTTCCGCTTTCCACTCCGTTTGTTCTGTCTTCTTCTTTTGTGTTTTATTGGCAAATGGCAACCAACTTAAGGTGACTTTACCGCCACCTACCGGACTGGAGTGTTGTCATCAACGATACAGAGGGAATTTAACAATACGCACCTCAATGGTGTGTAGAAGTGTGCAAATTCATACACACACACGCGCGCATACACACATACCCCCACACACTTTTAAAAACGATTAAATAACCTAATAGTTTTTTAAAATCTAATCAATTGATTTCTTATAGATTTTGATTCGTTTCCTAAAATATTTATCAGAAAATCCCTTCTTCTCTCTTGTATTGACTTTAAATGCTGACGTCCCTCTGAATATTTATTACATTCTAATTAGACCTGTCCCACTGCCTCCATCTGACTGCAATAATCACAAGTCCTCGTTTCATGTTTCTCTTTTCAAAAAGAGAACTATTAAGTCCTGCATGCCCAGTTCTAAATTGTGACATGAATTCTTCTTCTTTCCAACTTCCCCATTTGTTGTTGTTCTTCTTCTACATTCTTACTTTTATTTGGTTTTCATGCAAGCATTTAACTTCCACCTCAAGGCTGCTGTTACATGAGAACCACTGTTTTCTAGTAAATTTTCAAGTCATACTCAATATTTTTAATTGTAATATTAAAATTATTTTTTTCTTCAATGACTCCAAATCAGAGTGAAGCTGTTCATTTTTATTGAATTTGAACCTTTTGATATTTTTGCTTTTTTGTTGTTGTTAAAATGTAGTATTTTTCTTCTATAGCTTCTGGGTCATGTGACCCATTTACACTGAATCAGTGTGAAATTGTTCTAGGGGGAGTCACAGGAAATAACAGAAATAATAGAAAAACAGAGTTTCTTTTATTTTAACCCACAGATTATAAATGACAAAAGATAAACTCAGCTCATAAAAGAGGTCAAAGAACCTCTTTAGTATCTTCCCCATTTTAGGTCTTCTTGCATTTTGATGTTAATTTTGCCAATCATATTTGGTTTTTAGTAGCTCACCTGTCCTACTGACAAGGACTAAAATGTTTCAATGGAATAAAAGCAGGTGAGCCTCATCTTCAAAGTCTAGTAGAACAATTTCACACTGATTTAGTGCAAATGGGTCACATGACCAGAAGCCAAAGAAAAATACTACATTTTAACAAAAAGATGCTAAAATATCAAAAAGGTTCAAAGGCAATAAAAACGAGTGCACTTCATCTCACGAGTTAAGAACCGTTTCACACTGATTTTGAGTCAATAAGGCACATGACTCGGAAGCTATTGAAGAAAAAAACAACACTTTTTAATATAACAATTATTAAAAATATTGGGTATGACTAAAAATTCACTAGAGAACAGAGGGTCTTGTGTAACAACATGAATTCTGTGTCAGTTGGTCACAAGGCAAGAAATCTATTTACTATTTCTATTTGTTTCTTTGGAGTGTTTGGTTCGGAAATTTGTTGAACCTCTGAGTGCATGAGGATGTAGCTGACGCGTGACTGTCGTCCGTCTGATATGATATATATATATCATATCAGATATATGATATATCAGCAGCATGCATATAACTGCTGCTGATAACAGCTGAGGACTGAAAAATGGAAGGTCTGACACACACACACACACACACACTTTAAGTTTTACCAGATGCCACTTGCAGCACCTGAGAAGAGTTTAAAAACTGACACACAGCCTGTTTAAAATGATCAAATTGGTGAAAAAAAGCAGAACTTGTGACTTTTGTTTGGTTGTGTGTGCATGCAGTGGTTTATGTGAACATTTAGTGGTTTCGTGCCCACTGCAGGCTCAGAAGATAACAGTCTGCAGTAGAGTCTTGACGTGCTGACTTCTCTGTCTCTCAAAAACATTTGATTCATAAAAATAAAACACAAGAGCTTCTCCACACAAATGGGGACCACTTGGTTTGCAATTTGGAGTGTTGGATCTTCTTGCGGCAGGTATAAAGTTTTCTCTCCTTTAATTTTAACACTTCTCCATTTCTTGTTTTTTTTTAAGTGTCTCTGTTATTTTGTGTTTTATAGGTGACAGTTAAAAGTAGTAAACATGTATGACATGCACAAAACAACGTTATTTACTATTGTTTTGTTATTGAAAAATGTTACATTTCCATCAATGTAAGAAACCTAACTATTGAGGCATCACAGCTCGGACAGTTTCGCTACGTCTGGGTCTCAAACTGCGTTCCTCCAGGGCCGGTTTCCTTCACCTCTGCTTCAACACACCTGGCTCAAACATGCACTCATCAGCAGAACTTTGTAGAGCTGGACTGAATGCTAATGAGGCAGTTTGACCATTTAATTAAAGAATGTAGTACAAGGAACAAATGTAAAAGTTGCAGGGTTCTGGCCCTTTCTAAATGCAATTTGAAACAATCTGCTAGTGCAGGACAGATCTTAACATGCTCTTATTAATGACATTGATTTTAGGGCGTATGAAATCAAACTGGAGTGAAAAAATTTTCAGCTCAAAATTTGCATATTGCATGATACTTCACTATTTTCTGTTGAACATTTTAACAGACAAATTGATCTACAAAACAATATTTATTACATTGTTGAAAGTGGCGCAGTTGGTAGCACTGTTGCCTTGAGCAAGAAAGTCCTGGGTTCGATTCCCGGCCTGGGATCTTTCTGCACAGAGTTTGCAGAAAGACGTGACTGTCGGGTAAATTGGTCTCTCTAAATTCTCCCGAGGTGTGTGTGTGTGTGTTTGTCCTGTTTATTTCTGCGTTGCTGTATCTCGCCTCTCACCAGCAACTCCCGGCCTCATTAGGGACAGAAAATGGATGGAGTGAAAAATGTGAAATTTCCAACAATGTATAAAACTGTTGAGACCATATAATAGAAATTAGCCGTTAAAATAAACATATTTCTTCTCCTCTTCTAGACTGCAGCTGCAGAGGAATCACCATCTCAGCCTGGATTTGAGTCAGAGATGTTAATATTAAAAGTGAGCAAAAAAGCCTTGGAAACTGGCACAGACAATCATCATATTGGAGACAGTGTGAGTGTCTTTTCTTTCATTTTTTATTTTTACATCATGTGACACACACATTTAATGAATATTAGCCAAACAAACAGACAATATAGTGGACTAAAAAGCAGCGTTGTGAACTGTTTCTCATCATCATAGTAACAAGGATTATGAGATTATTTTGATACTCGTCTTCAGGGGCCCTTGAGGGCCAGATTGCACCCTGGTTTCATCATTCACCAGACCTTCACAGGTCGGTTCAGTCATTACAGACAGAATATTTGTTTCCTTAGGATCCAGCTGGTCCTCAGATCCCCGTCCTGGATTTCACTAAATCCAGTCCAGGACTGAAGAGGAGGAAGAGAGACTGGGTTATCCCTCCCTTAAACATTGCTGAGAATTCTAGAGGACCTTATCCTTTGCATATTCATGAGGTAACAGGAACAAAAATGTTATACAGTTTTTTTAAGATGTCAGAAACATTTCCTGCAGTGTATTTTCCTCTTTATTTATATCATATGTTTGTAATGTGCATTTACAAACTTTCTACATTTCATTTTGTGTTTAGTAAAACTGAATTTGGCTCCAAAGTGAAAAAAAAAGTGTTTCTGGCCTGTATCTTTTATACCAGAAATAACATAGAATAAATGCTTCAACTAAAACATCTCTTAAGTTTAAGTTAATCAAAAGACATTTTATCCCACAATAATTTTCTGTTCACTGAACAGTTTTTGCTAATTGTTGTCTTTGAAGTTGTCTCTATTCAACCCTGATTTTTGTTGTCCAGATACGCTCTGATGCAGACAATGTGAGGAGGCTCTATTATAGCATCACCGGTCCTGGAGCAGATCAGCCTCCTATTGGTCTTTTCACCATGGACAGAGACACTGGTCGTCTGTATGTCACACAGGAACTGGACAGAGAGAAACAGGACAAGTACCTGGTCAGTGTTTTCTCTGCTATCTGTTGGGTGCCTCATCCACACCAGTCCTGTTTCGCCACCGTAATAGAACTAGAAAGTCCAGCTGGTTTGGGATCGAGTGAATGTGCAGTCAAACTCTGATGCAGACCAAAAAAAAAAAGGAGAAATCAAGAGCCCAGAAACCTCAGACTCAGTTCTGATGAAGTGAACTCTGGTACAGTTTGAATTCACATGTGAATGCCAACCGGACCGGAGGCCTCTTAAAAAACATGAAGCAGAGTGTAGCGCAGAGTATTCTGGGTAAACACAACTAAAATAGTTGAAACTAGTAATAGTTATTTTCATGAAATCATCATCAAATAGTTTCATTATTTGGTTCATGTATTAGAAGATCTTTTGCCAAAAACAAAATAGAAATCCTCCAAGCATTAAAATCTGACGCTGCTCCATTTTTGTGAAGAAGGAAGTTGAGCTCAGCGTCTTCTTCAGAGGTTTTTATGTTGACTGTAAAGAGGATTCAGTAACTCAATCTGTCACAGAATACTTCACTGTAATTATTGAAAACTTTTTAGAATATTAAGTAGTTTTAAAACATACACAGAAATGTATTCAGTAAAAACCAAATTATTTTTCATCATTATGAAAGAAGAAAGACACAATATAATTGTTCTGGTGATTAAAAAATGGCATCATGTTACAGCTCACAGTCCATGTTACGCAGAGGAAGCAACTGCAGAGGAGCCAATGGAAATTGAAATCAATGTAATTGACCAGAATGACAACAAACCTGTTTTCAGTCAGTCCATCTATGAGGGAGAAGTTCCAGAGGCGACACAAAGAGGTAAAGTCACACACATTAATGTCTTTGTTCACATGTGTAGATATAAGTGCATTAATGTAATCTTATTTAAAATCACAAATATTTGCAAACTTTTAGCCTTTGTGACCTGAATCAGCTGCAGACCGAGGAGGAAACTGAGGCTGAATGACCTCCTCAGTCTGCAGTCACGTTCTCGGTCTTTGTTCAGCAGATGAACTCGTTGTGCCTCACCACAAGGAGACCGTTTCAGATTTATCCGCAAGTTTTTTTTGTTTATTCTGTTGTCCACACGGATTCGGCTTTTTGAGAGACCAGAAGAGATCATTTCTGAAAGAGGGTTCCAGAGTGGATCGGTTTCATATTTCAGTGTATACTTGTGAGCTGAGACTTTTTTAAATTTTTTAACTATGACTGCTGAAGGGCTGCACAGTGGCGCAGTTGCCTTGCAGCAAGAAGGTCCTGTGTTCGATTTCCGGCCCGGGGTCTTTCTGCAGGGAGTTTGCATGTTCTCCCTGTGCATGCTGGGTTCTCTCCGGTTCTCCGGCTTCCTCCCACAGTCCAAAAACATGACTGTCAGGTTAATTGGTCTTCCCAAATTCTCCCTAGGTGTGAGTGTGTGTGTGCATGGTTGTTTGTCTCTCTGTGTTTGCCCTGCGACAGACTGGTGACCTGTCCAGGGTGAACCCCGCTTCTCGCCCGGAACGCAGCTGGAGAGGCACCAGCACCTCCCGACCCCGATAGGGAGAAGGGTGACGGAAAATGGATGGATGGGTTGCTGTAGTTCTCTTTGGATCCCACAATGAGCTCACTTTTATGAGTAACATGGTGACGTTCAGTGTTCTTTTTTTGTCGTTCTGTGACAGTGTTAGAGCGCCACCGATTGGCTTGGCATACCCTCTATGGTGTATGCTACACACTTTTTCTCTCTCTCTCTCTTTTTTTTTTTTTTTTTACAAAACTTCTCACACTGATTGTGGCAAGCAACAAGATAGTTGGCAGTTGGACAGAGGTCTTGGTTCTGGTTCTGGTCTGTATACCCAGAACCAAACATGGAGAAGCAGCATTCAGCTTCTATGCAACACAAATCTGGAACAAACTTCCAGAAAACTGCAAAACAGCTGAAACACTGAGTTCCTTTAAATCGAAGACAATTTATTTAGAGATAAATATTCATTAATGTGCAATTTTAGCCTTTCCAACTTTTCTTTGTTTTCCCGCATTATATCACTGAAGTGTATTTTTTATCTAAACCATGTAAAGCTCTTTGAATTGTCTTGTAGCTGAATTGTGCTACAAAGCTAATCCTGCCTCACCTATCAAACTCAGCAACAATTTAAATACAATAGAAAATCTGCCATCATCTCAGTTGATGTCACTGTGATGACTTTTAGTGATTTGTCAAAATTTAGAAAGACCTTTGACCTGAGTTTTAATGGAACTTGGAATCATCAGCTAGACAAGAAGAGCTTCTCAGCTCAGCCTCATTGTTAAATCTCTGTTGATAAACTGATGTCTCTGCTCTCACTGACCTGCTTCGTGTTTCCTCTTGATTAGGTTTTAAGGTGATTCAGGTCGTGGCCACCGATGCTGATGCACCAAATACTGACAACTCTGATATCAGGTACTTTATAATGAGCCAGAGCCCAGAGCAGCCCAGTCCCAACATGTTTACCATCAACCCATCAACTGGAGACATCATAGTTAAAGAAGTTGGACTGGACAGAGAGGTGGGAATTCAGTTAATCAATGAATCAATCAACTACATCTGTATAGCACATTTCAAAGACTGTTAGGTAGTCTGAGTGTCTCACTAAGTCCTCACGGTCAGATTTCCTGTTGATAACATGGAGCTTTACATTTTGGTCGGAATTCAACCTTCATGTGGAGAATAATTTAATTCACTAAATAAGGTTGAAGCAAGTTTTATAAAACTCACTTCAGATTATTTCTCCCAACATGTGATGCAGTGATCAGCCAACTGATCCATCAAAGTTCTGCTCTGGACTTAACAATTTGTCGCTCGGAGGCAAAGTTGTTGATTCAAGTCCATGTTTGTTACAACAGAAAATCCCTCAATACAAACTGAAAGTAAAGGCAGCCGACATGAAAGGAGAAGGTAATACTGGATTTGCCGAAGTGATCATCAAGGTGACGGACAGCAACAATCACGCTCCGGTCTTTACAGAACCTTCTGTAAGTAGAACACGTGACTACTTTTATTAATCTGCTGATTATATTTAAATCTGTTTATCAGAATCGATTTGTGCAGTAGGTGACCAGTAAAGCAGTAGATCACCCTGAATGCTATTGGCGTGTCCATGAAATGAAAAACAAATCAAACTGATAATCGATGATCATACAATGACTGTGTGGAACTTTTTCTGGTGACGTCTGCATCTTGTGTCTCAGTACACGGCCACAGTTAAAGAGAATGAAGTAGACGCTCTAGTTGTTAAGCTGTCGGTGACAGACGGGGATGAGCCTCATACTGCAGCCTGGAAGGCAAAGTCCAGCATTATTGATGGAGATCCACAAAACCTTTTTACTGTGGAAACAGGAACAAACAAACAGGAAGGAATCATCACTACTGCTAAGGTAGGAGGACCAGCAGGTTCTCACTGCTGGAGCATAAATAATAAATGTGATTCTTTATTGCACTGTTTTTAATAAAGGGACATTTTTATAAACATAGCATAGTTAAGTGATTGTACTGCTAATGTCTGATCAGTTGATCTGAGATGATTTTTCTTTTACTAAACCAGAGTCTGGACTTTGAGAGATCCAGTAAGCACACTCTACTGGTCAGAGTGGTGAACGAGGCTCCTTTTGCTCTTGTTTCATTGGTCACTTCCACTGCCACAGTGGTGGTGACTGTGTTGGATGTCAACGAACATCCCATCTTTGAACCAGTAGAGCGGCGTGTGTCTAAAAGGGAGGATCTTGCCGTGAACAGCGTTGTGGTGAGGTACACAGCTTCTTTGACTTTGCGTTCAAACAAAGGGTCAGGTAAGAAAATCCTCCAACTTGAAGAGTCACTGCATAAATTACCTTTCATTTATGCTGTACTTCTGAACCAAGTTTGTTTTCCCACTGGTAATTAATCAGGCAGGAAACATTACTATGATGGATGTGTTTTTGTTTTGTCATACTGCTTATAAAGTCTGGCTTTGTCTTATCATTTATATACATTTATATACAGCTTTATATACATTTTTGTTCTTGATGTCCAGGTATAAAATACTCAATGACCCAGCTGGCTGGCTTGGCATTGATCATGAGACTGGTGTGATAACAGTGAGAAACCAGATGGACAGAGAATCCAGCTTTGTTAAGGAAGACAAATACACAGCTCTGATTGGTGCTTATGATGATGGTGGGTGTGACCGTTAACGGTCTTCATGGTTTTGGAGGAACTCTTCATAAATCATGGTGGAAGTTAAAAGGAATTTAATTTAATGGTTTGAGCTAAATTTTAATTCAGTTCAAATTCAAAAATTAGAGAGATGTTGGAGTTGGGGATATAAACCCTGCAGCCTTGACTCAGTAAAACACATCACACTGTATTACCTATTCCCTTTCCGAGTCCTTGTCAGGGCTTGAAGCTCATCCACTTCGGCCTCCTTTTCAACTCCTCTGGGATTTCTGGCTTCAGCTATGGTATTATTTCAGCTTTTCAGATGTTAGACAGTTGTTCCCTGTTGTAAACCACTTTATCACAATGGTTGTGTATCAAAACTAGAATTGCAAAGTATAAAGAAATTCTTTCCAAAATCAGTTCAACTACACAGCACCCAAAACAAAAACGAAGCTGTTGAACAAAAAAAAGCAACTTTCCCCCAAAAAGGCTGGAATGAAAGTTTGAAAAGGGAAAAAATCTCTGTGAAAGTACACAACTACAATTCCAGGATTTACTCAAAAATTCAATTCTAGAATTGACTTGAAAAGAGTTCTTTACAATATTTCTTGTCTTGAAGAGATTTTGAACTCCTTCCTCAGAGGATCATTGAAGGTGTCGACATGCTTCACTGCTGTTTGCCTGTCATGCCTCCAGATCCGATCCCAGCGACAGGAACTGGAACTCTGATCATTGAACTTGAGGATGTCAACGACAACGCCCCCTTTATTGAAGAACGTTCTATTACAGTGTGTACCCCGTTAGGAGATCAACATTTCTTAGGCCTGGTTGTTGTGTAGAGTTCTGTGTTTGAAAATATTATTAGTATCGAACTGAATTTAAATCCATTTGGTTTGTTCAGGTGTGCAACAAGAAACCAGCTCCTCGGCTGCTGACTGTGACAGATAAAGATGGACCAGGCTTTACTTCTCCGTACAGCGTGAGCTTACATGACTCTGCTAAGGCCGACTGGATCGCGAGGATGAACGACGCCAGTATGTATCCGAGATAAACCCACTCATCGTGATTCAGTCCACAAGCATCACCAACAAATGGAGGAATCTGCATTTAGAGGCAGAACAGACTAACCACTATATTTATATGTATTATATTTGCTGAAACTACAGTGTAATCGAAGTGGAAACGGATGATCGAGCATTTTTGCTTATCATCTCTCATTCTTTGATGCTACCCAGTTTGCTGCTGTTCTTGCCAGAACTTTAAGTGTCACCTAAGTTGTTCAAGTGAAGAAGAATGAGAAATCGAAACTTGATTGAACGTCTGATAAATGATTTTATTTTTTTGTTCTCTTGCTTGCAGGAACAGAGATTATTCTGACTTCGAACCGTGAGCTAGAGGAGAGAGATTACACTGTAGCCATGACTGTTTCAGACACCTCTGGTCTGTCTCAGGTCAGCAAGGTCACAGCTACAGTGAGTGACTGCACTGGAGAAGTAGTGACCCGGCAGGAGAATACTGTCGGTGGCTCCCACCAGTCAGTCATCCTGGGAATACTGAAAGGCATCCTCATGCTGCTGTTCAGTGAGTTTGAATCTTGTTAAGCTTCTGTTCAAAGCTGTTTGAGGAACAGCTTTGAATTCAAGAGACCAAGAACCATTTTAAACTGAGAATCTGGAAACTAGTATGTTGCATGATTATCATAAAAAACACAAGACAAACACTGACGTCTATGAAGTTGGACATGTAATAATTTACAATCAACAAAGTTCACTACACAAGTGCATGCTTCAGATAAAACTAATATTACAGTGATTTTATTCATATTCAACACTAAATTTTCCAGTAGCAGCCTCTAAATGATCCGACCCCTAAGATAGAACCCCTCTTTAGAGAACACATTAGGCTGGTGTGGAATAAATGGGTCCATTGCATCTTGCTCACCATCTCTACCACAAAACATGACACCGACACTTTGTTCACATCTGACGAATGGGGCTGCTAAACATCATGACAGCACATGACAGAAGCATGTGATAGTGAATATAGAAACACGAGAAAACTCACATCAATCTGTGATTGCGTAGCACAAAGAGCTGTGGTAATTTGATCCTTTTGAGCAAGATTAATGTGAGAAACTTGTGTGATCATAGGATGAGGCTTTAGGGGATAAGAAGCTTCTTGCTCCATCAGGGCAATAGAATTTACAACACCATCATCCACGCAGTGATTATGAGTCTTCTCTTCATTTAGTGCTGGGGCTGCCGTTCTTTCTGTTTGTGAGGCGAAGAAAAGCAGCAGAGGAACCTGTTGAATTCAAACCATCTCCACGTCAAAGACAAGTTTGAGGAAGAGAGAGATGGACGACAGAGAGAACATTCAGGTGAAACAGGGACAAAGGCTGATTCTGCTCAGACATTCATACGGTTCAGTTAAAACTTCAGACTGAAATTGTTCTTGCCAGTTTATTCTTGGCTTCTACTTGTTTGAGTCGAGCTAATTTTTTTTTTAGCGTAACAGACCTGATAAGGTTCACAGATGGAGACATTTACCAAATCTTGAAATGGTTGACTTTGCCTGAATTCACAAAACATGATTTATGTCACTATGTCATAAACAGTTTCCCCTTGAACCAGAGCAGCCTTAAAACGTGCAGAAGACGAGATGCTAACCAGTTTTGCCCGTACATGCTAGGCTACACGACGGTGGAGCATCGTTCCATGTTCACTGATGATTAGTACCTTTGCCATAATGCAATATTGATATATTTATAATCACACTTACCTATAAAATATATGAAGGTTAATCTTCTTACCTGGCGGATACACAGAGGGCTGATAGTAATTATGATTGATGGCTGCTGTCCATTGCTGCCATGTCTTTCCTCATTGAAAGTTATACACAAGTTTGTATAACTTCTTACCGGTTTGTGCTGCCGACCGCGCAGCATCCTGTGATCATTTTCACTGCGAAATCAACTAATTAAAAGCGACATCAGGGTGCCATATGTAAATTTGACAGGAGCGCGTAGGTTATTTGGATGTCATCATGGCGGAAGAGGCTGAATTTCAAAGAGTGACGTCACGTGCAGAAGGTCGATAAGTGTTGTTCTGGACTCGTAAAAGCACAATTGAATACATTAAACAAATATTTTTTCTACAAATTCAATATCACAATTACAATCAACATATGCCGTTTTAATAACGCCACCAAAATAAGGTGCATGAATGCGTTGAACGCTTTTAAAAAAACAACAACTTGTTTATGTTTATTTTTCTTGTACTCATTTTTCCTTCTTTTCTTCCTCACATGCTGGGTTTGACTGACTAAGGAGGCGGTTCTGACCCGCAAGACCCGGAATATGACTATCTGAATGAAGAGGTTCCCCTTTAAGAAACTGCCTGATACTAAAAGAGGAGAACAGAATGAAGTCATATTGTACATGTTTGGTGAATTGAATATTAATGAGAATTTGTTCAAGTCTGCTTTCAGTTTAAATCACCTTGTTCTACATAGTTGTTGCTGAAGATAAAATAAGTTTTTATTTTGGAGTTTTTTGTTTGCCTTTGTGGACAGAAATGACATGTTAAAGATGACATTTATATTTTGTTTTCCAATACAGAACTTACTGTATTATTGAACACACGCCCTCATTGGCATCGAGATTCACGGTGAAGTCTGTGCAAAACTTGAAAACTTTATGGACATCTTTGGTATTCTACAATTCAGCCCCAAAATATTACACACCTGTCAGATTTAGCTTAAGTAATCTTGAAAATTCACTAAGATGTTTATTGTTTTGTTTGTCGAATATTAATATTAATTAACATTTCAACATTATATTCGTTCTAGCAGTAAACTAGGAAAATTTTGTGAATGGAGCAAAATTAGGGGGATGGTGAGGGAGACCTTCAACCTGGAAGGCTTGGGGTTCATTGCAACAAAACAGCGAAATACAGTAAAAAGAAATGCAAATACTGATCAGCAATATAAAAAGAGTTTGATTGCTGTTATCAAAATATGGATTCTATTAATTACTAAAGACAGTAAAAATGTTTTGTTGACACCAACTTCCAGAAAAAAAATGAATTCAATTTTCGATCGTTGGTAAATAGAACAGATTACATTGTTTTATTTTCTTAAAATTAAACAATGTGATCATCATTTTGTTGAATGATGATCATAAACGTTCTGAATCAACCCGGAGTATGAATAATTATGGACTTAACTGTTGCTAGACCTTGGGAGCTCGCCAAAGATGCATCTCCCTAAGTTTGAAGAATTAACAGTAAATGTCTGTAAGATGTTGAACATTGAGATGTTTTACTGTTTTGCTCAATTGTAATGCAATAATTTCTGTAATATCCTTTTGGTGTTGGTAGTTGTCGTTTCGCATATTTTTTAAATACTTTTTCTTTTAACTCTGGTTTGAGCTCACAGCAGCAAGAGAATATGCTTTATTCCAAAAATGTCTTTTTAACGTTATGAGCTCAGAAAGCAAAATATCAGTTTATTGTCCGCTAAGGGAAATTTTTCTTGAAGCAAGGTGATAAAAAGATCATTTAAACACACACAGAAACAATCACACAACAACACTGCAAAATAGAAACAGTTCTAAGAAACATCAGTTCTGATATGAATAAAACAGACTAAACAACAATTAGTGTGTCAACACTCTAATTGTCCAGAAAACAGAAGTGGTTTTGAAATATTATTTATCTGCTTAAACACAGGAAACTTATGGTAGGTAAAATTTTTCAAAATAAAAATCAGATCATACTTCATTTCAATTTGTGACCAAAAAAAAGCTCGTCTCTTAGCAAGAGCTTAACAAATACTGTTATTTTTGGAAAAAAACATAATTTTGCCGCTCTTTTGAAGTGTCTCAACACTCCATTGATTAATAAAACATAAGAGTTTTTTGAAAGAGACAAGAAACTTAAAGAAGGTAAATTTTATAAAAATAAAACTCAGGTCTTTACTTCATTTCAATTCGATACTAGAAAAAAAAGTTAGTCTCTTAACAACAGCTTAACAAATCTTGTTATTTTTGGAAAAAAACATAATAATTCTGCCAATCTTTGAAGTGTGTCAACACTCATTAGATTAATGAAACATAAGTGTTGTTGAAATATTATTCATCTACTTAGACACAAGAAACTTGTAGTAGGTAAATGTTATAAAAATAAAAATCAGGTCATTACTTCGTTTCAATTTGTTACCAGAAAAAAGTTGTGTCTCAGCAACAGCTTAACAAATATTATTTTTTGGAAAAAAACAGTAATTCTGCCTCTCTTTTTAAAGTGTCTCAACACTCTAATTGTTCATAAAACATAAGTGTTTTTCAAAAGAGATAAGAAACTTAAAGTAGGTATAACCAGGTGAAAAAATGGGTACCTGTCAAATGTATTTTTAAAGGCATGTTTTTGTTTCACCGACTGGTTGTTATTCTTGTTTTTGCCAGCATGTGGTGCTGTTGTTACAGAGAGGTCTAAAATGACCGGAAATTAAAAAAAAAACTCATTCATGTATCGTGGCACTAAAATCCAAACAGAAGAGAAGGACATTTTGTGCACCGAGACCGGTTGGAGGAAGGTGACTATATGGCCACCTGACCAGAAGATCCGAGTTCTCAAATTGCCACTGCCGTTTGTTTTACCCGTTGTTAGAGTTTAGCTCTGTGAAGCTACGGCCGCCATTTTCACTGCTAACCGTTGATTGAATACGGGTCATGTTTTTTCAGCATATATATATATATATATATATATATATATATATATATATATATATATATATATATATATATATATATATACACCTGAGCAATAGAGGGCCCAGATCTACCACACCAGACAAGACCCAAGGTGTAGGTTGTGCAAGGAGGCCCCTGAGACAGTCCAGCACATCACAGCAGGGTGCAAGATACTGGCAGGGAAAGCGTACATGGAACGACATAACCAAGTGGCAGGCATAGTGTACAGAAACATCTGTGCAGAATATGGACTGGAAACCCCGAGATCAAAGTGGGAAACACCCCCAAAGGTGGTGGAGAACGCCAGAGCTAAGATCCTGTGGGACTTCCAGATCCAGACAGACAAAATGGTAATGGCGAACCAACCAGACATTGTCGTAGTGGATAAATAACAGAGGAAAGCCGTTGTGGTAGATGTAGCAATACCAAGTGATTGCAACATCAGGAAAGGAGCACGAGAAACTGGAGAAATACCAGGGCCTCAGGGAAGAACTGGAGAGGGCCTGGAAGGTGAAGACCACAGTGGTCCTGTGGTCATCGGGGCCCTCGGGGCAGTAACCCCCAAACTGGAGCAGTGGCTACAACAGATCCCAGGAACAAACATCAGACATCTCAGTCCAGAAATGTGCAGTCCTTGGCACAGCCAAGATACTGCAGGACCCTCAAGCTCCCAGGCCTCTGGTAGAGGACCCGAGCTCAGAGGATAAGAACCACCCCGGTGGGTGAGAAGGGAATTTTATTTTTTTATATATCTGCATTTGAGAGAGAGAAAACTATTCTTCTATATTCTATTTTTTTTAAGCTCTGTGTGCATCATTACTCCTGGCTTCATAGGTAAATTTTATAAAAATAAAACTCAGATCTTTAGTTCGTTTCAATTCGTGACAAGAAAAAAGCTCGTCTCTTAGCAACAGCTTAACAAATATTATTTTTTGAAAAAAACATAGTAATTCTGCCGTTATTTTTAAAGTGTATCAACACTCTTAATTTTTCATAAAACAGAAGTGTCGTTGAAATATCATTTATCTACTTAGACACAAGAAACCTAAAGTTAGTAAATTTTCTAAAAATAAAAATCAGGTCTTTATTTCGTTTCAATTCGTGACCAGAAAACAAGCTTATGTCTAAGAAGCAGCTGAACGAACAGCTATTGTTATTTTTGGAAAAAAACATAGTAATTCTGCCGCTCCTTTGAAATGTGTCAACACTCTATTGATTCTTAAAAGTATAAGTGTCTTTGAAAGACACAAGAAACTTGTAGTAGGTACATTTTCTAAAAATAAAAATAAGATCTTTACTTCGTTTCAATTCGTTACCAGAAAAGAGCATCTCTCTTGGCAACAGCTTAACAAACTGTTTTTGAAATATTATTGATTTACTTAGACACAAGAAATGTATAGTAGATAAATTTGATAAATTTGACAAAAAATATTTTTTAAAAGAACATAGTAATTCTGCCTGTCTTGGAGTGTCTCAACACTACATTGTTTCATAAAACATAAGTGTTGTTGAAAGATTATTTATCTACTTAGACACAAGAAACTTATAATAGGTAAATCTTATAAAAATAAAACTCAGGTCTTTGGTTCGTTTCAATTCGTTGCAAGAAAGAAAGCTCGTCTCTTAGCAACAGCTTAACAAACATTGTTGTTTTTGAAAAACAGTTATTCTACCCCTGTTTTGAAATGTCTCAAACTCTAATTGTTCATAAGACATAAGAGTTTTCCAAAGAGATAAGAAACTTAAAGTAGGTCAATTTTATAAAAATAAAACTCACGTCTTTTGGTCGTTTCAATTCGTTACCAGAAAAAAAGATTGTGTCTTAGCAACAGCTCAACAAATCTAATTTTGAAATAAAAAAAAAAAACAGCAATTCTTCCACTCTTTTGAACTGTCTCAACACTCTGTTTTGATTAATAAAACATAAGTGGTTCTGAAATATTCATTTATCTACTTAACACAAGACACTTGGAGTTGGTAAATTTTATAAAAATAAGATCTTTACTTCGTTTCAACAAGAAAAACAGCAGCTAAACAAATATTGACCCAAAAACATAGTAATTCTGACGGTCTTTTGAAAGTTTGTCAACACTAATTGTTCATAAAACATCAGTGTTTTTGTAAGAGACAAGAACTTATGGTATGTAAATTTGATTAAAAAAAACAAAACAAAACACTTATCTCTTTAATTCATTTCAATTCATTACAAGAAAACAAGCTTGTCTTTTAGCAACAGCTTAACAAACATTGTTGTTTTTGAAAAACAGTATTCTACCCCTGTTTGAAATGTCTCAAACTCTAATTGTTCATAAGACATAAGAGTTTTTCCAAAGAGATAAGAAACTTAAAGTAGGTCAATTTTATAAAAATAAAACTCACGTCTTTTGGTCGTTTCAATTCGTTAGCAGAAAAAAAGATTGTGTCTTAGCAACAGCTCAACAAATCTAATTTAAAAAAAAAAAAAAAAAAAACAGCAATTCTTCCACTCTTTTGAACTGTCTCAACACTCTGTTTGATTAATAAAACAAAGTGGTTCTGAAATATTCATTTATCTACTTAACACAAGACACTTGGAGTTGGTAAATTTTATAAAATAAGATCTTTACTTTGTTTCAACAAGAAAAACAGCAGCTAAACAAATATTGACCCAAAAACATAGTAATTCTGACGGTCTTTTGAAAGTTTGTCAACACTAATTGTTCATAAAACATCAGTGTTTTTGTAAGAGACAAGAAACTTATGGTATGTAAATTTGATTAAAAAAATAAAAAAAACCACTTATCTCTTTAATTCGTTTCGATTCATTACAAGAAAACAAGCTTGTCTTTTAGCAACAGCTTAACAAATATTGTTTTTAGAAAACAGAAATTCTGCCACTCTTTAAGTGCTCAACACTTCATTGATTAAAATAATATTTAAATAAAATTAATATTTAAATAATCTTTATTACCCCTACTCTTTATTAAGGACAGTGCACATTAATGAACAATCAACACTACTGTATAGACTGTAAAGGGCCAGATTGTAGCATAATTGCTAATTTACATCTGTAGTTCTAGACAAGGAGACCCAAACAACAAAAAGACATTACAAACATACAATCAAGAATTAACAAACATTCACAAAAAAACACAGTAAAAAGTTAGTTAGGTTTTTTTGAAATATTATTTATCTATTTAGATATAAGAAACATGTAGGTAAATTTTATAAAAATCAAAATCAGATCTTTAGTTTGTTTCGTTACCAGAAAAACAGGGCTCAACAGGTGTTGACACCTCAACATATATTGTTGTTTTGAAAAAACGTAGTAATTCGGCCGTTGAAGAGTCTCAACTCTTAAGTGTTTTAACAACAATTTGAGGAAGAGAGTAACGTGGCACCCTTTCAACTTGGCGTTCCCCATTGAACAACCACAGAATACATAGCTCTCTGATCTCGGCCGGGGGGCTCCAGGGAATGGCTCCCAGGGTTGGGCACTGTCCCAAGGAGTCCCCAGGAAAGGCCCAGTCCGGTGCCAGTCACCTGGCACCCTTGCAACTGACCAAGCCCCAGTGAGCATCGTTCTGGGTAAACGGTTCCCAGACCCTGGATCTCGTCCAGGGACCACCGACTTACCTTCTGCCACCTAACCTTTACCCTAAACCTTTACATGTTTAGTGCACCCAATGCCTGCATGGAACTTGGCTGGATCCCCTGGTTCTAGAGACTCTGAAGGAGTCCCTTCAGAGTCCTGGTATCCCTTCAGAGTCCCCTGGTATCCCTTCAGAGTCCCCTGGTATCCCTTCAGAGTCCCTTTAACTCTGCAAGTTGAGCCTCCTGTGATGGTCGAGAGGTTTTAGTCTCAATAAAGAAAATAGTAGTCTGCAAGGATTGTACACAGAGTCTCAATCAAGATTCAATAATTTATTTACAAAAACAGCTGGTTAAAAAAAGGAGGCATAGACAGTTCCTGACAAGAAATCAATACACAAGTTTGTGAGAGATTCTTAACTGGCCCAAAACGGGGAAAAGGGGGCGCGGTCCTCTACTGTTTCCAGTAGAGGTCCGACCGATCCTCCGGTTCCCAGCGAACCTCCAGCGGCGACCTAGCAGTCCCCACTCCTACAGTTGGCCGCCAGATCAGCAGCACTCCTTGGGGCCAGTCCTCCATCTCCAGATTAAATCTGAGAGAGAGTCTTAGCTGGCCCAACAACAAGGGAGGGGAAAGGGATGTAGTCCTCTGCTGCTCCCAGGCCGACCGATCCTCCGGTTCCCAACAGACCTCCAGCTGCGATCCCGCAATTCCCGCTCTTCCAGCTGGGCTCCAGCTCCTCTGCGGCGTCCAGATCAGCAGTACTCCTTTTGGGCCAGTTTGGGCCAGTCCTCCATCTCCAAACCTCCAGTCCACCTCCGTCCTCCTACAACCGACGTCGTAGCCCACCTGGTCCATCTGCCCGTCCAGCTGCAGCCGTCTCACCTGGCCGTCTTCTCCAGCCGTGTTGTACCAATCAAAACATGCAACACAACAACCCAACATTTAAACCAAAATAATCTAGGAAACTAACTAACTTCAAAATACACAGTCCAAACAATATAAGAATCATAAATTAACTCAAAAGAAAAACAAGATCACCTTGCCACACTCCAGGTCCTCATTTTTTTCTGTGCCATTTCTCAACAAAGAAATCACAGACAAGCAATGTTAGATAAACTGCATTAATCTAACATCCACATAATATCTTGAATCAACTCACATACCTGTTCAAAACAGAAATAACCCAGTACAGCAGTCTGGGCTCTGGCTTTCCCTCACACACCTTAAACGATCAAAGAGCAAAAATAACCAAGTTGTTTCGGTAAATTCAACAAATGTCGCTGTGGTGGGAATTAAATACCCAATACAGTGCTGCACCTACATAAAACAATTGAAAAGCAATATATAAGGACTTGTAAAGTCCTGAATCAAATTGAATATTTATGATGGATGATACTTTGGAAGGAAGAAAAGCCTGAAAGGCATGGACATTAAAATCAACATTAATGGTATCTGGTTATTTGTGGCGTTCACTGTCTAGTATTTTGTTCGTACAATACTTGAATGTCAAGCGAACGCTCAATTTTGTGACGTAGGTGCATACTTTCATCACACTGAAAATTGGAAATAACGCACGACGGTGGCACACCCATAAACGAAAGTGATATGTTTCTACAAAGAGAAGTAGATGTCTTTGTGTTTATATGTGGTAAATTATAATATCATGAAACAAAGCGATTCTCCAGTTGTTCTTTCGTGGTCGCTGTTCACACATCTGTGGTGCTGAAAATGCACTGGTTACTTTTTCTACCTTAATGTCATAACACGAAAGAGCAGGTTACTTGCTGTTATAGTGTGAGATTTTACACTACAGCAGCAACAAGGGATCATTTTGACAGCTGCATTTAAACCTCTATTATAATGAAGATACATTCAATTTCATTGGCTATCATTTTTTAAAACCAAATCAAAAGTGAACGAATTTTAACCCAATAGCAGGCGTTTAAATATGCATTAAGTTTCTAACTGTGTCAAAAGTCAAACTGTTACAAGATACCAAAGTAATCTTTAAAATCAATTCATCTAAGAAATGTCACAATGTATTTCTATAACTCGGTAACAACTGTAATTGTATGAATGACAGTTCTAAACAGCAAGTCTGAAAGTACTTTATAGGAGCTGTTTCTCTTTTCTTAGTTAAATCTTATTTAGATTTAGTTAATTTTTATTTCTTCCTTATTTTCTAGTTGATTTATAATTAAAATTTTTGTTCAGTTTATTTAAAATAAGTTTGCTGGTTCACTTAAGTTAATTAATTAAATTTTGGGACGTGGGTGTTACACAGTACAGATTTGAACTAGCACATTATGCATGTGGGTGGTCAAAAGGTTTTTTACCAGTCTATTCAGTTAGTCATCAGTCAGTCTATCCAATCGGTCAGCCAGTTCATAAAAACAACAGGTGTAGGAATCAGACTGAAAGAAGTAGTGGAATCCTGTGAGGCCTGTTACTTGTTTTGTCTGAATAGTGGAATAAAACAAAGAACTGCATTTTGACCTTTTGTAGAATCCATGATGCACCATTTGCACTATTTGAGTTGAATTCACCTTTTAGTCTTACGTTTTGTTACTTTTGAATTTAAGTTTTGGACAAATAGTCAGTACAACCTAAATAAACATTATTTTGTAATTATGACATAAAACAGTGACTATGCCTAATCCTTTTTTATAGCTGAGGTTAACAAAAATGTACTCAATTTTTCTGTTTATGTTACAGGATGAGCTGGATGACACAGCACAACTATGGAATACACACCACATCAGGCCATCTAAAAACTTGCACGTTCCCAGCGGTCGGCCCAATGTGATGTATGCCCTACCTGAACTGTACAGAACTACAGACTTCCTCACTCCTTTTGAAGTAGAACAGATTCAACTGTGTAGAGATGCATGCACTTTTCGGCAGACCATACCATGTGATTCTGCTGTGTATGACATTTGCAATGTTTTAATGGCAGAATATGGTCTAATGACACCATCAGATCCATATGATTCTGTGAAACTGTACATGTTACTGAGAGATGCCATTAGAGGATTACTGTGAGTATTGACTGGAAAGAGCCTGCCATGTTAGGGTTCCACATGTCTCAAAACGGAGCTGCTTGTTTTCGATTATGAGACATTAACATGCATTCTAACTGTTAAACTTGATAAATAATCTGACTCTTTTTTCCCTTTCTAAAGTATTAAAATAGAAGCAGAAAACTAAATGTCCCTCTTACAACATTAATCCATCTAAGTGCTAATTTATTTTGCTAAGTGCAAAAGTCAACATGCACAACACACAGCTGTGGATAAATGTTTACGCAAATTGCATATTTGTGTAACATTTATTGTGAACATTCACAGGAAATCCAAACATGTATCAAAAATAAAAACTTTGCAAGACAATTACTTCATGTTTAAGTTTACCTAAAAACATTTTGGCACCACCAAAACAATAAAACAGGTCACCAGAAAACCAAGGTTGGCGGATGTTACAAACACTCTGAATTTTGTTGTATTTTAAGTATTGTTGTGTTTACTTCATTTCATTATCCAACCATCAAAATAAACTTTCTGTTGAATTTCTAAACATACTTTGATAAAGATGAAAATACATCAATTTCACTGCTGGAATACTATCAGGAACTATTAGATAAAATGGCCAAAATTACAAGAACTGTGAATTCTTATCCCTTTAATTCCTAAAAACACTCTTTCACATTTAGAAAATTCTACAAGAAACAATGTTTTTAAACCAGCGTTATGTTATGTTCTCAACATTGTGCATATCAACAAATGAAAGGGTAAAGAATGAATGTATTTTGATCAATTAGTCAAACTCCAAATTTGGTTCTATTACAAGTTTTTTCCTGCAAACACATGTGCTATTAAAATATCTTGATGAAATTTCAGCTGCGTGACAGAACTTTATTAAAACAAATATGAAAACTAACTACTGGTCTAATTGCAACTGGCGGTTATTAAATTCTGGAAACTATACAAAATTGGAAATTGTTTACCCTTTGGGTTTTCAAGCAAAAACACAAACCTTTCAACATTGCACAGCTTTTAAGCATTGAAAATGGAAACCCATAATTTAACAATCATGAACATTGTGCATAATGCAGAATAATATAGGATTTAATTGAGCATAAATGTCAACTACCTTTTCAAGCTTAAATAATATCCATCAACATGAAGTTGCTTACCAAGATACTGTCAAACTCTGCTCTAAATTCTGGGTAGGAACTGTAAGTGTAAGGCACATCAATGATTGCTGCACATGTGTGTGCAACAGGTCTTCTCCCAAAACCTGTTTCAGCATTGAATGTAACCTTAATTTTTTCTGTGCATAAAACGGAGGACCCTGTGCAAAATCGCAAGAATTTTTCTAGTTTGCGCTGATCTGCATTCCTAATGTACCTCTGCAAGTAAGTAAATGTTGTCTGCTCTTCCTGTGATAAAGCCTCTGTTTGCAGCATGTCAACTGCAAACATTCGTTTGTTGCTTTTTTGGACTCATAAATGAAGGACACCAGCTGGATGACACAGATTTAATGCAATGCCTTTGAAAATGTCATTAAAGCAATCAACGATATACTTTGGTTCTTGTAATATGACTTTATGAGCCATGATCTGTATTGCTTGCTTGATATTTTCCTGAGATGGAATGCAGTGAGCCCCCATCTGTGAAAACAGATCCAACAAATTTTCCTCCTCATCCTCTTCCAATACTCCACTGAGGGCCTTTTCTGTGGTACTTCTCTCGCTCTCTGACAAATACTTAGAAAAGGAGGACAAACCAAACTTCTTCTTCTTCCTGATAACTGCCTGCGAATTACTTTTTAAAGCGACAGTTTTTATAGTTATATTTACATTATTGACATTTTAACTGGATTACTACTAACCTAAGGACTGGGGGATTTTCGTACTTTTATTTTTATTTTTACCTACTTTTCTTTACCTCCAAGTTAAACCAGGGCAAAATGCCTCCGACTGACCCCAAGGACATGAGCAGCATTTTACAACGACTTCAGTTTATAGAAATGAAGATCAAACTGCTGGAGGTGAACTTTGAGATCAACGCTGCCTGTGGAAATGAAACGACCCTTCCTCAAATCAACGGAGAGGTCGGGAGCCCTGCACGAGCAGCTCACCCTGGAACGCTCTGGGTGCCAATCCGAAACGGGAGTCTCGCACTGCGGATCCGATGAGACGACTATCAGGAGAACCCCGCACCTGGACGAATCAGCGTGGCCGGCTCTGAGCCGAAACCCACCTTCAACTTCAACACCTGCTCCGCCAAAGAAAGACAAACAAGCAGCTGCAACCAAAACGCCTCCACCGACCCCACTGACCCCACCGACCCCGCTGACCCCGCTCCCAGGGACAAAGCAACCTACCTGCACGAGCCTCAAAACATTCTGACTCTGTGGGAATCCCACTGAAAAACAGATTTTCTGCACTCCAGCCTGAGCCTCTGAGTGAAACTTCGCCTTCAAATATCAACAGTGAGGCAAGACCAACACATCCATCCCCCAAAGCTCCAAAGGACAAAGCGACCACCAGGAAAACTAAAGGTAACCCAAAAGTGCTTGTTGTTGGAGATGAGGCAGTAAAGGGAATCAGTGACGTTTGCAATCCAAGGAAAACAAGAGTGATGTATTTTCCTGGTGACACTGTATCTGATTTAACCAACAAACTGCTCTCTCTAACCACTGATCAGCCAGATATTCAAACTTTAGTTGTGCATGTTGGAGCCAACGATCTGGCAAAGCAAAAGTCTGAGATTCTGAAAAAGGACTTTAACATTCTTCTGGACACTATGGGAAAACTGAGAATGAAGTTATTTCTCAGTGGTCCAATTCCATCACCTCAATGGGGAGATGAAAAACACTCCAGGCTGCTCACGATCAACAAATGGCTGATTAAAACCTGCTCTACCAGCTCAGTGACCTTCATCGATAACCTCTGGATCTATTGGCAGCGCTTTCACCTTTTTGGAAGAGGAGGACGCAATCTTAATAAACATGGGATAAAGCTACTCACTGCAAACCTTTTTTATTTTATCAACAAGGACAGCAACAGGATCATCGCGCCAGAAGAACAGGCTCAAGGATGTCTGACTAGGATGGAACGCTCCCCGGATCAGGAGCACGATATTCCAAAACAAGCTGATAAATCGACTGGAGACGGAGCGACTGCTTCCCTCGCTCCTTCCCCCCTCCCTCTCTGCTCCTCCAATCATTCACAGGATTCAATGGATACCAATGAAGAAATGTCTTCCGGACCAGAGTTTTTTAAATTTACAGATGGAATGAATCAACAGGTTCGCCTCGGCACGTCTCTCCTTAGTACTCACGTAGCAGACCTCACTACATTTAAGCCACCTGCCCCTGACTTTCCAGAGGATCCATCACTCTGCGTCTCTGAGGTCTGAGGCTGGGGACCAGATATTATCTTTACACCCGTCTTCCTCCAGAATGCAACTGGCCCCCTGGAAATGCAGAACAGGACATTACCTGTCCGGATCACTACAAGAAAATTTACAAAAAATAGAAATATGAAATACAGCGGTCCTAATTTGAACCTCAGGCTGATCCCCTGCCTAAAGGAACCTCAGACTGAAAATCTTTTGGCCTCCAAGTCACTTAAAATAGCACTTTTAAATACCATGCTAAATGCTAAAGCTCTATTAATTAATGATTTCATCACTGAGTATAATGTTGATGTTATGTTTCTGACAGAAACATGGTTGAATGACGATAATGACCAAATTGTACTCATTGAATCAGCGCCTCCTGACTACAATTTTTTAAGTGAGAATAGAAAACATAAAAAAGGAGGAGGCGTGGCTTCTATATTTAAAAATACCATAAACTGTAGTAAAATCTCTTTCGGTCATTTCACATCTTTTGAGTATCTTGGAATTCAGGTTAAAGGCTTCAAACGAACTTTGACACTAACTTTATACAAAACTCCAGCATATGTGGAAAATTTCTTTACTGACTTGAATGATCTTTTATCTCTCATATGCATTGATTATGATTGTTTAATAATTGTTGGTGATTTTAACATTCATGTGGACAAACCCGAAAACAGAGGAGCAAAAAAGCTCTCTGATATTTTAGAAAATTTTGGTTTAACACAACATGTTAAACAGCAACACACACTCAGGACACCACTGGACCTGGTTATCAGTAAGGGTGTGACTATTTCCAATGTCTCTGTAACTGATGTCGCCCTGTCGGATCACTTTGCTGTTATCTTTGAAGGTTCTTTATTCTTTGACCCACTTGGACAAACAGCTACTGTCACAAAACGTTCTTTCACAGAAAACACAACAGAAACATTTAATCAAATCTATTCTTCCTCCTCACCCTTAAGCTGTAATGATGTAGATCAGTTGTTAGATGATTTTCAGTCTAAAGTCTCATATATCATTAATTCCATTGCCCCATTTAAAGTAAAGGTTTTGACTGGTAGAAAGAAATCTCATGGAGAAATGCACAAATAGTTCGGTCTGCAAGACAAGTCTGCCGCAGGGCAGAACGATAATGGCGTAAAACTCAACTTCATGTTCATCATGACATCTACAAAGAAAAACTACGTAACTATCACTTAACACTAAAACATGCAAGGGAGGCTTTCTTTGCAGATGTCATAAACAAAAACATCAATAATGCTCGAACTTTATTTGCAACAGTTGACAGGCTCACAAACCCTCCTGTGACGTTACCACATGAACTCCAATCTAATGCTGCCTGGAACAAGTTTTCCAGCTTCTTTTCAGAGAAATCCAAAAAATCAGAGGATTAATCTGCACATCAACTTCAAAGCCAGAACCATTGCTGTACCAAAACAAAACAAATACAGAAAAAATGACCCATTTTCAACTACTTAATTATAAAACTCTAGAAGAAATTATAAGTCAATTAAGTTCAAGCTCCTGCTGTCTGGATGTCCTACCCACACATTTCTTTAAGAAAGTCCTGCCTGTTATTGCTACTGATCTGATCCAAATAGTAACTCATCGCTTACATCAGGTGTTTTCCCCCAGGCCTTGAAAACAGCAGTCATCAAACCACTGTTAAAAAAGAACAACCTGGACAAATCACTATTGCAGAATTACAGGCCAATCTCAAATCTCCCATTCATCAGCAAAGTTATTGAAAAAACTGTGTGTGAACAATTAAATAGTTTCCTCATGATGACCAACTGCTTTGACACTTTCCAGTCTGGTTTTCGTGCTCACCACAGCACGGAGACTGCCCTCGTAAAAGTATTCAATGATATTCATATAAATACGGACTGTAGCAGAACCACGGTGCTGGTTCTGTTGGACCTCAGTGCAGCTTTTGACACTGTCGACCATGACATATTATTGAATCGACTTGAAAGTTGGGTTGGACTCTCTGGTTCGGTGCTCGACTGGTTTGAATCCTACATAAAGAACAGGGATTTCTTTGTTTCAATTGGAAACTTCTCATCAAAGAGGTCAAAGGTCACATGTGGGGTACCCCAAGGTTCAATCCTAGGACCCCTCTTATTTAATATTTATATTCTCCCACTAGCTCAGGTCATAACAGGAATAATATTAGTACCATAACTATGCAGATGACACACAGCTCTACATTACGATGTCACCAGGTGACTCTGAACCCATCCAATCACTGAATAAATGTTTAGAACAGATAAATGTGTGGATGTGCCAAAACTTTCTCCAACTGAACAAAAATAAAACTGAAGTCATTATTTTTGGACCTAAAGAGGAACGATCTAGAGTCAATGCACAGCTTCAGTTATTACAACTAAAAACTAGCGATCAGGCCCGAAACCTGGGAGTAGTGATGGACTCGGAGCCACATAAAGACCAGAGCCACATAAAGACAGTAACAAAATCAGCCTTCTACCACCTGAAGAACATCTCCAGGATTAGAGGACTAATGTCTCAGCCAGATCTAGAGAAACTTATTCATGCGTTTGTCTTTAGTCGCATTGATTATTGCAACAGTGTCTTCACAGGTCTGTCCAATAAATCAATCAAAAAGCTGCAGTTGATCCAGAACGCTGCTGCTCGCGTTCTCACTGGAACCATGAAGATAGAGCACATAACACCAGTTTTAAAGTCCCTCCACTGGCTCCCTGTAGCTCAAAGAATAGATTTTAAAATACTGTTGTTAGTTTACAAATCACTGAATGGTTTAGCACCACAATACATCAAAGATCTGCTGTTGTTGTATCAACCTTACAGACCTCTCAGGTCTTCTGGTTCTGGTCTGCTCTGCATCCCCAGAACCAGAACCAAAAGAGGAGAAGCAGCTTTCAGCATCTACGCACCAAAACTTTGGAACAAACTTCCAGAAAACTGTAATACAGCGGAAACCCTGACTTCCTTCAAATCTCAAGTAAAAACGCACCTGTTTAGAGTTGTATTTGAAAAGGAATATGTATGGATTTGATTTTGTGGCTATGTATGTAATCTTTTTTTTTTTTTTTTTTTTCCTGTTGTGGGCAACGGGGCCCGGCGAATACCCGTGGTTAAACGGACGGCGGAGTCCGGCGGTAACAGGCGCTTAAATTCCGTGTCAAAGGGAAGGGGAAGAAAGGGAAGAAAAGGGGAAGAAGGGGAAAGAAAAAAAAAGGAAAAAAAAAAAACCTTGGTATTTTATTCTATGTTGCATGCCTTTGTGTTTTGTGTTTATGATGTCAAGCACTTTGAAATGCCTTGTAGCTGAAATGTGCTATACAAATAAAATTTGATTGATTGATTGATTGATTCTACTGCTTGAAGACCAAGTACAGAGGCAACTATGAATGTCTTGGACAACCTGACTGGAAATATGCCATAATCAATGAGTCCTTTGGCCCAAATTTGGCTTACTGCATACCACCTCTCTTTGGAAAAGTCTGGTCTGAGTTTTGGCACCCTCTCCTCCTCCCCTTCACAGAGCTCCAAGAACTGCTCCCAGAAAGCTGTATACACGTCCCTTGACACTCCACTGTCGTCCACAGCCATTTCATGATTAAATTCCATTCTTAATTCTGATTCCATTATGCTTTTGTCTATGAACAACTTAAGAAGGTCATCTATGACTATGGCACAGCGGATATGTGCATACCTGGTCTTTGGGATGTCCTACATCTCCAGTGGAAGACGGTAGTGCATAATTTTCTGTTGAAGGGATCATGTGTACTACAGCTGTTTGTGGAGCCTGGAATATAACATGAATTAGAACAGTACATTTTAGTTGTCATATTTTCTTCATAAGACAACCAAGAGTTTGAAAAGACATAGTAATAATTTAGATATGTAAGTATCTAATTTAGGAACTTCATGACATTCATTACATTGGTGTAACGTTATTTTTAAAAATGCAAACAAATCATGTACAGAAGCAAATAAAATTTTAAAACAAAACACATTTACTTCTGAAAAGTTTTCGGCTTCTGTCTCAGGATGACTGGCCATCATGGGAAGAGTAGAAGCAAGCTCACCATCACCATCTTCTGACCTTGATCTCCCAGCGTCCCTACAGGTTTTCCCGGCGTCCCTCCAGTCCCGGCGTCCTCCAGATTTTCCCGGCGTCCCTCCAGGTCTCCCCGGCGTCCCTCCAGATTTTCCCGGCGTCCCTCCAGGTCTCCCCGGCGTCCCTACAGGTTTCCGGCGTCCCTCCAGGTCTCCCCGGCGTCCCTCCAGATTTTCCCGCGTCCCTCCAGGTCTCCCCGGCGTCCCTCAGGTCTCCCCGGCGTCCCTACAGGTTTTCCCGGCGTCCCTCCAGGTCTCCCCGGCGTCCCTACAGGTTTTCCCGGCGTCCCTCCAGGTCTCCCTGCGTCCCTCCAGGTCTCCCCGGGGTCCCTACAGGTCTCCCCGGTCCCTACAGGTCTCCCCGGGTCCCTACAGGTTTCCCGGCCCCTCCAGGTTCCCCGGTCCCTACAGGTTTTCCCCCCCCCCCTCCCCCCCCGTTTCCCCCCCCCAGGTCCCTCCAGGTCCCCCGGCGTCCCTACAGGTTTTCCCCGGCGTCCCTCCAGGTCTCCCCGCGTCCCTACAGGTTTCCAGGTCTCCCCTGCGTCCCTCAGGTCCCCGGGTCCCTACAGGTCTCCCCGGGTCCCTACAGGTTCCCCGGGTCCCTACAGGTTTCCCCGGCGTCCCCCAGGTCCCCGGTGTCCCTACAGGTTTCCCCCCGGCGTCCCTCCAGGTCTCCCCGGCCCTCCAGGTCTCCCCGGCGTCCCTACAGGTTTTCCCGGCGTCCCTCCAGGTCTCCCCTGCGTCCCTCCAGGTCTCCCCGGGTCCCTACAGGTCTCCCCGGAGTCCCTACAGGTCCCCGGGGTCCCTAGTCCCTACAGGTCTCCCCGGAGTCCCTACAGGTCTCCCCGGGGTCCCTACAGGTTTTCCCGGCGTCCCTCCAGATTTTCCTGGCGTCCCTCCAGGTTTCCCCGGCGTCCCTACATGTCTCCCCGGGGTCCCTACAGGTCTCCCCGGGGTCCCTACAGGTTTCCCTGGGGTCCCTACAGGTCTCCCTGGCATCCCTTCAGGTTTCCCCAGGCTCCCTACAGGTTTCCCCAGGGTCTCTACAGGTTTCCCCGGGGTCCCTACAGGTTTCCCCGGGGTCCCTACAGGTTTTTCCGTCGTCCCTCCAGGTCTCCCCTGCGTCCCTACAGGTTTCCCCCTGGGTCCCTACAGGTTTCCCCCTGGGTCCCTACAGGTTTCCCCAGGGTCCCTACAGGTTTCCCCAGTGTCCCTACAGTTTCCCCGGGCTCCCTACAGGTTTCCCCGGCTCCCTACAGGTTTCCCCGGGGTCCCTACAGGTTTCCCCGGGGTCCCTACAGGTTTCCCCAGGGTCCCTACAGGTTTCCCCGGGCCCTACAGGTTTCCCCGGGTCCCTACAGGTTTCCCCAGGGTCCCTACAGGTTTCCCCGGGGTCCCTACAGGTTTCCCCGGCGTCCCTACAGATTTTCCCAGCGTCCCTCCAGGTCTCCCCTGCGTCCCTACAGATTTCCCCCTGGGTCCCTACAGGTTTCCCCAGGGTCCCTACAGGTTTCCCCGGGCTCCCTACAGGTTTCCCCGGCTCCCTACAGGTTTCCCCAGGATCCCTACAGGTTTCCCCGGGGTCCCTACAGGTTTCCCCGGCTCCCTACAGGTTTCCCCGGCTCCCTACAGGTTTCCCCAGGGTCCCTACAGGTTTCCCCGGGCTCCCTACAGGTTTCCCCGGCGTCCCTACAGATTTTCCAGCGTCCCTCCAGGTCTCCCCTGCGTCCCTACAGGTTTCCCCCTGGGTCCCTACAGGTTTCCCCAGGGTCCCTACAGGTTTCCCCGGGCTCCCTACAGGTTTCCACGGCTCCCTACAGGTTTCCCTGGGGTCCCTCCAGGTCTCCCTTGCGTCCCTACAGGTTTCCCCCTGGGTCCCTACAGGTTTCCCCCTGGGTCCCTACAGGTTTCCCCAGGGTCCCTACAGGTCTCCCCCGGGTCCCTACAGGTTTCCCCGGGCTCCCTAAAAGGTTTCCCCGGGTCCCTACAGGTTTCCCCGGGCTCCCTACAGGTTTCCCCGGGCTCCCTACAGGTTTCCCCAGGGTCCCTACAGGTTTCCCCGGGGTCCCTACAGGTTTCCCCAGGGTCCCTACAGGTTTCCCCGGGCTCCCTACAGGTTTCCCCAGGGTCCCTACAGGTTTCCCCCGGGTCCCTACAGGTTTCTCCGGGGTCCCTACAGGTTTCCCCAGGGTCCCTACAGGTTTCCCCGGGCTCCCTACAGGTTTCCCCGGGGTCCCTACAGGTTTCCCCAGGGTCCCTACAGGTTTCCCCAGGGTCCCTACAGGTTTCCCCGGGCTCCCTACAGGTTTCCCCAGGGTCCCTACAGGTTTCCCCAGGGTCCCTACAGGTTTCCCCGGGCTCCCTACAGGTTTCCCCGGGCTCCCTACAGGTTTCCCCGGGTCCCTACAGGTTTCCCCAGGGTCCCTACAGGTTTCCCCGGGGTCCCTACAGGTTCCCCGGGGTCCCTACAGGTTTCCCCGGGCTCCCTACAGGTTTCCCCGGGCTCCCTACAGGTTTCCCCAGGGTCCCTACAGGTTTCCCCGGGGTCCCTACAGGTTTCCCCAGGGTCCCTACAGGTTCCCCCGGGCTCCCTACAGGTTTCCCCAGGGTCCCTACAGGTTTCCCCAGGGTCCCTACAGGTTTCCCCAGGGTCCCTACAGGTTTCCCCGGGCTCCCTACAGGTTTCCCCAGGGTCCCTACAGGTTTCCCCAGGGTCCCTACAGGTTTCCCCGGGCTCCCTACAGGTTTCCCCGGCTCCCTACAGGTTTCCCCAGGGTCCCTACAGGATTCCCCCGGGTCCCTACAGGTTTCCCCGGGTCCCTACAGGTTTCCCCGGGTCCCTACAGGTTTCCCCGGGTCCCTACAGGTCTCCCCCGCGTCCTTACAGGTCTCCCCGGCGTCTCCTTCCTGCTGCTATCCTGACCAGCCTCTGAGTCCTGAGTCCTCTGTACCGGAGACCATCAAAATTTGCTCTTGAACCCGATCCAGACATCAAGACCGGTCTCGAGTACAGCAATACAGGCAATCCCTATTCCGAAGCCTAGGGCAAAACATTTTAAGAGAGATGTCTTCTGCACTGGCACGTCTTCATCCAGCTTGTCCATGTTCAACTCTCTATCCTCCCCCCTTTTTTTGAGATGTTGTAGTTTTTGCTTTAGATAGTTGTATTCCTCTCGCAATTTCAAAATTTCGTTCTCCATTTTTTCAAACCGCCTGTTGTTTTCAAGCTGGTGCTCTGCAATTTGAGCCTCAAGCTCCAGATATTGTTCATTGTCCATTGTCCAAACAAATCGCAGACAAGCAATGTCGATAGGAGAGCCTTCAACAAATGATTGATATTTTCCTGGCTGTTCCCTGGAATGCAAGAATGCAGCTCTATGATGTCACAGGAACGTGATGTCACGTTTCCCCGCTCCAGCAGAACAACTGAAAAACGTCTGAAGTTTGAATAAAACAATTTTCATTTTCTATTTTATATTGTGAAACTAGGAAAAAAACATCTACACCATTAATCAATGAAAATATGAATTCCTATTGAGTCAGTGATATTTATCATATCATATATGAAATGTCCGATGAACTTAATTAATTAATTAATTTGCTGTTTCTGAAATGTGTCCCTGTAAAACACGCTGTAACTTATCTAGGTGTTAAAAGGTCACAGGAACAGGTAGTAATTTTGCTCTTGTTTGCGAGTGTTCAAAAGAAATTCAACAGTCGGCAAGAAAGGGATTTAAGCAGAAGGAATGTTAAGGGCGCCATATGTTTTTTCACCAGTAGATGTCAGTAAAGCGCTTTGTTCTGATCTGGACAAGATTCCCTTGGAGTTTTTTTTTTTTCTCTATAAAAATACTGCACATAAAATAATAATAATAATAAAATGGGTTTTTAAATTCTGTAGCAGGAGGTTTAAATGTTTTGACATTTACTGTCTTTAATCAAATAGTAAAAATTAATCTGATTAAGAGTTTAAAAAACTCTTAAAAAAAAATTGAAAATAAAACTTTCATGTGGAATATTTTCCCAAATCATCTGTTCAGCAAACCAGGGTGTATACATCTGTTGTTGTGTTGTATTTTTTTCAGTTAGGAAAACATCCAGACAAATCAGCTAAATTTCATCAGCAGCTACATAAATCATTACTGCTGTGAAACTGGGTTGATGAAAATATTAATTTAATAAGCCAGTTACTCGATACTAATTGTGAATCAGCGACCTGCGATCATTAAATCATGGAAATATATAATTAACATTGCTTTTTCACCCCGAGGTTTGTACTATAAAGTACCTATTTTTCATTTGGCTTGACCAATTCTGATTTTTTTTTTTTTTTCTTCAAAATTGCTGAATTTTCGTATTTTCCCATTTAAATTGCCGGAAGCGAAGCTGGTGAGGCAGCAGAGAGTTGAGCCTCAAGTTGATCAACCTCTCACTAACTGGAGCATGTTCCTCCTGTCTGTACATCACCAATGGCAAAAAAAAAACATTTGATTTTCCCTAATTTAGCTTCTGTAATATAATGTATAGTGTACCACCCGGTACCTCCTGCTGACTGTTGGCTCTGCTTCTCCTTAATGTTTCTGCCAGGTGGGTAAAAGCCGCTGCTGATGGGATCTGGCCTGGAAGTGAACGGCTGTAAATAGAAGACACTGCAGAACCTCAAGTGTTAAAGGAAGTTTCGGCCCAGAGCATTTAGAGGTTATGAAATAAACGTCAGAGAAAATACTGCAGCAATAATTAGAACCGCAGCATAAAGCCAAACATGCCGCAATTAAATGAATCAAAATGTCCCCAAAGAATCGGCGGGCTGACATAGGGGCCAACGGGGGATTCAGGTAGATTCCAGAGATGCAGGTTGGCTCAAAGTAATATGGGGCCCTAGACAGACGTTTAACATGTTTAAATATCAGTGAATCTGTTAGAGGGAGACCAGATTTATTGTTCTAGATCTCAGATGTGCAAACATCAAAAATTATATATAGTTAAACCCC